TGACATGACTCCAAATTTAATCGGACTCCAATGTTAATACCAGACACCAGATAAAAAACCACAAAAAAAAAAATCACTAAAATTACATGTCTCGTACTCTTATTTGTAGTTTACCTCTCAAGTGAAAGTACTTTTTTTCACGGACTAAATTTGAATTTACACCAAGAAATCTTTCAAATGAAATATTTCCTAACAAACGCGACTTCTTATACTACTTACCTCTCCATCACATTTTTTTTTCGCGATCGATCATTACCACTTTCAATTCATATTACTCTGGAACATACTGCGCCACCACTTCTCTAATAAGCCAAATCACATCAACATTAACCTTTGCAAATTCTCTTTTTCATATTTATTATGAAGCCAAAACATGTTAATTTCACATGCCTGGTCTTATTGAAGTAGAAAAATTTGTGTCACAATCAAGACAGACATTTTGGCAAATGGCTTATTGGCTAGTCACATTCACAAGTCTCCATCATTTATTCATTTGTAAGAAAAACAATGTCAATAGCTTAATGTCAACATAAATTGATCTTATATTAAAATGTCTATGGTTAATTTTTCAATCGATAATTAATCGAAGTTGACGTTAAGAGGTATAACTCTACCTTGAAATGACTCGAACTCATATATATCAAGTAAATATAGTTGAGCTACTAATTCGAGAATCTACATTACACACCGTGACATATTCAAGATTTTCAGTAAGGAATCACGAAAAATAAAATATGTTGTGTTTGAGATATGAACTTGAAACCTCGAGTGAAGTATGAACCCCTAATCAGTCTATGTATATTTTTAAGTTTAAGGGATTCAAAATTTTATATATATATTTAATACATTTTTTGTCGAGCGAGTGGGTTCGGGTGAATCCCCTCCTGACCCCCTAGATCCGCCCCTGTCTGCAGAAAATTAACATGATTTTTCCCAATAAAGGTAAAAGTAAAAGATTTTTTGATTAATTGAGTAGGCATGGGAAAATGTCTTACTAGGGAGATTTTTCGGACTTATCTATATGACAATATATTGAATAATGAAATTTGTGGATTTCTTTAACCAGGCCAGCTATCCTTAGAAGGGTAGGAATATATATCAAAATAGAATTTATATCGAAAAATAATTAGAACTATTAACATCAAGCTAGAAAATTCTTTCGAAACTTCCACAGATATTTATATTGGGTGTATACTCTCTCCATTCCGATTTACGTAATAGTGATATAAGAAACAAAATATAAAAGAGAAAACAAGTCTTTTAAAGCAACCAATATGTATATTTCTGTAATGTCAACCTTAGCCTTTTCTTGACCTTTACTTTATGTTCTCTATGTGAAAAGCAAAATGTCAACTTTGCCTTTTCTTCAAAATTAAAATTTGGCTTTAATACACTTTAATTAACTTCCAAACTACTATATTAATAAACAAAAAACTATAGAATCCAAATTCCAGGATAAAGAAAATCAGCAGAAATAAAACAAACTCATTATTTATTAACAACCATAATATATATCCAAATAACAAGAAAGGAGATAAATCCCCTAATCAAGAAATTATACTAATATAATCCAATGAATATAGGAAATACAACAAATCACAAATAAAAAAAAAATAAAAAAAAATTACCAATCAAGATGGCACCTAGTTACATCAAAATTAACAGATCTGCCACTAGACTCCAAAGGTACCTTAAAATCACACTCAATTTTGGGCTTAATTTTGTGAGTTTTAATCCAACCAATCTTTAGCCTTATACGCATATAAAGCTTCATTTCCATCTCATAAATCCCTAAATTCTTCTCATTATTATAATTTGTTTTCTCTCTATCTCCCAATAGAACCAAATTTTGTCCTTTAAATACTGGATGCAAATAGCTAGTATTTTTGTGACCTTGATAAAATCGTTCCAAATTTTGACTAGCAAATCTCTGGCCTTGATACATACCTCTTGCTTCGATCGAATCGTAGTAAATCCCGATTCGTTTGTTAGGGTTCCTAATAGTCATGTTGAGTGCAAGATCATAGTAGAGGGTGTTGTTTGTAGTGGAATAATCGAATTGTGTCAATGTGGCATCTGTCACATAGAAATTGACCTTGTTAGGACGTAGGACTAGCCAGAGGACTAATGCAATGACTCCGAGGACGATGAGGATGGTGAAGATGATTTGAAAAATACAGTTGCATAGGCAACCGAAGAGGCAGCTGCAAGGGTTGCAGCTGCTTCCCCGTCCATGTCGGTGGTAGGATTTGGACGGGGGCGGAATGGATGGGCCATAATAGGCTCCGTTCAAGTTGGACATAGCTTATAACAAATACAAGAAAGTCAAAATTCAGTACAACTTTTTTTTTCTTTGTTCCTTTGGTGTAATATAAGATGAAAAAAAATATATAGATGAGAGTTATGATCCTATGGTGAGTTCAGGTTAATTTATATAGGTGTTTGTATAGTCTATGATTTAATGTGTATATTATTTGAGTAGGTAAAATATGTTGAATTGGTAAGCAAAAGTGGATTGATTTGAATAAAATACCGTGTTTTTATGTTCTTTGAAATGACGACGCGGTTGCTTCTTGGCAAGACTTCGCATATAAACGCTACATCATTCTCAATCAGAGATCTCAAATTCGAGTTTTTTAATACAGAGTCATCTTCGTTAGGTAGAGTTTTATCCATGTGGAATTTTTCGACGTGATTTCAAATTTAGTCGGACTCCAATATTAATATCAAACATTGAATGAAAAAAAAAAACTTAAAACCTGTTTGGATTGACTTTTAACTTTTGCATTTGGCTCGGAAGGCTTGCTTACTAAGTACGTAGTAATTAATTTATTATTGCTAAAAATGGTAAGAGACGTAAGTTTGAAATATGAGATGAATAAGATAATAAAATGTCTAATCATCGAAAGAATGTTTAACATAATGGATAAAGTCAGAAAGAAAGAAGATTTTTTGATGAGCTAATATTGATGTCTCAAGTTCAATTAACTACTCTAATTTTACTATTTCTATTCAAATTAATAATTAAAAACAAAACACAATTTTGAATTTTACTGTGTTGAAAAAAAAGAAATTGGTTTTCTTTTAGTTTTTTCAAGAGGATACATCAATAACCTCTTTAATTTATCAATAAATTTTATTTAGACACTAAAATATGGCATATTTCATGCGAATACATGAATATATGATAAAGTTATCCTATTAGACACATTTAGTTTAAATTTAGAAAATTCTTTTGCAATTTCTTATTGCATAGATTAGTTAATCACATAAAATATGACTCATATATGATATAGTAATACATTAGCCTCAATTGGAACATATTTTTTTTAACTTAAGGAACATGCTTGAGGTTTTACAATTCATTCAATCTAATGTATAATTAAGAAAAATGAAATATTTTAAGTAATTAACTTATCTAGATAAACGTTTGAAAACATATTCAAAGCATTTCCAAAATTGACTGTAAATATCTAGTAGGAATACTTTATGATGTATTGAGTTGCTCAAATAAAATAGACCATCATTTAAGAAATTATCGACATATTTAATTAATTTTGTAAGCTTCAAATCATGACTTTCATTATCAGACAAACCACGTGTCCTACTAAACTGCTTTAAAAATTCAAATAAGATCAAACATATATATATCATTTTCACTTGAAATTGTCTTCATAGAAGTTTCCACTTTTTTTCTATTTCCTTTTTATTTAGTCATGAACTAAAAATTCAACAACATATAAGTATGAAACTAATCTTTTATTTACGCGTGACAATTTTATTTTTAAAAAAATAACAGCGACCCTTAAAATACCATGTATACAAATTTCAACATCAATGTATATTTAGTCATAAAATGAGACTTTTCATTACCTAATCAACATATATATGATACCTACATGGAGTATTTGATTTTGACTATATTGTTTGAAATACATTTTATATTAAATCCGAGTGGTTAGGTTGTGAAATAAGAAAATGCTATAGAAACAAATGTATGTAAGCTAATTATAATTAAAATCCAATTGGAAACGCATTACGTGTTCACGCAGGGTGAGGGAAAGGATCGCACCTCAAGAAATAAGAAAATGCTATAGAAACAAATGTATGTAAGCTAATTATAATTAAAACTCAATTGGAAACGCATTACATGTTCACCTCAAGAAATGCGATGTAAATTGTCTATGCTAAAGCAAATATTAGTGATTGTTTTCACAACTCGAATTTGTGATCTATAAATCACATGAAGACAACGTTATTGTTACTTTAAAGGCTCCTGTTCAATTAAAACCCAAGTACATTGCATAGATTATGTGAAAAACTTTGATGGGGGATTTCTAGGAATAATGTAAACAATCTTCTATGAAACATCGGCACAATCCTATGTAACTCAGCTACAATTTAGATTGTGAACCTTTCCCTTGCGATATGTATTTATACAAATGTAATTATATATATTGACGATTGACTAGTAATTAAAGTAATTCATACTTTATTTGTGGAATCAGACTGAATATATCATATATGATATCGTTGTAATGAATACCCTAATGAACTATGTGATGTTGATTCTTCCTTCTACTTGACAAATTAGACAAGAAGGAAGAATGTTCCAACGTCCCTATCACAATATAGATATTTTAATTATAATACCACTTTACTCTTTTCATAATATCCCATTCACATTATTATCTTCTTAACTAATTAAACATCATATATATATGAAGAAGATACTTGAAAAAAATAACAAAATATGTTGACTAAAACTTACGTCAATAACTATATCTTAATTGGAAATTTCTAAGAAGACAATGTCAAGAGAAACCGTGTCTTTCAAATAAAAAATACGGCCTTTTCTACTATTCAATTAAGGGCCACTTCAATTAAATCCACATTTGCTTACCAATTCAACATTTTCCATTCTACACAAAAATAATATCTAACACATTAACCAAAGTTTATTTAACAAACACCTATATATATTCATCTCTACTCACCAAAAGATATATCATTCTCAAAGCAACAAATAAAAAAAAAAAACATAAGTTGTACGTACTTAATTTTGACTTTCTTGTTTTTGTTATAAGCTATGTCCAACTTGAACGGAGCCTATTATGGCCCGTCCATTCCGCCCCCGTCCAAATCCTACCACCGACATGGACGGGGAAGCAGCTGCAACCCTTGCAGCTGCCTTTTCGGTTGCCTATGCAACTGCATTTTCCGAGTAATCTTCACCATCCTCATCGTCCTCGGAGTCATTGCATTAGTCCTCTGGCTAGTCCTACGTCCTAACAAGGTCAATTTCTACGTGACAGATGCCACGTTGACACAATTCGATTATTCCTCTACAAACAACACCCTCTACTATGATCTTGCACTCAACATGACTATTAGGAACCCTAATAAACGAATCGGGATTTACTACGATTCGATCGAAGCAAGAGGTATGTATCAAGGCCAAAGATTTGCTAGTCAAAATTTGGAACGATTTTATCAAGGTCACAAAAATACTAGCTATTTGCATCCGGTGTTTAAAGGACAAAATTTGGTTTTATTGGGAGATAGAGAGAGAACAAATTATAATAATGAGAAGAATTTAGGAATTTATGAGATGGAAATGAAGCTTTATATGCGTATTAGGCTAAAGATTGGTTGGATTAAAACTCACAAAATTAAGCCTAAAATTGAGTGTGATTTTAAGGTGCCTTTGGAGGCCAATGGCAGATCTGTTAATTTGGAGGAAACTAGGTGCCATCTTGATTGGTAGATTTTTTTATTTTTTTATCATTTTCACATTTATGGAGTTTATTTATTTATTATCCTTATTTTACATTAGTATATTTTCTTGATTAGGAGATTTCTCTCCTTTTTGTTATTTGGATTATGTTATGATTGTTAATAAATGATGAGTTATTTTTATTTATGCTGATTTTCTTTGTTATTACGAGGATATATATGTTAGTTTGTTTATTAGTTTGGAAGTTGATTATACTAGTTCAGTTTGTTAGTACCTCACCTGATATGTTTAAGACGATAAGATTCAAATGACACTTTAATAAATTGTTATCTGCTAGTACATCAGTAATTTAAGTTCAACATATCAAAAGTTCCAAATTACCTATCTTCAAGGTCATCCTTGTAAATCACCCAAACTTCCCCATTTCTTTTCGTTATTTACAAAAAATAATCTTGGAGGTGAGTTGTTGTAACCTTTTACTCCACTTGTCCTATGGAATAAATGACGGTCAAAAGTTTAAAATCAACTATTTTCGATATAATTTCTTGTATGTCTTTGACCAGCCTGAATGGTATTGGGCTGGATTGAGTCTCATAACATTAGGGCCATTTATCTGTTCAACCGGCCCAACTATTACCAACACAATTTTATCACTAGCACATTATATCAAAACTCGAACTAAGCGTTGTTCCGATTGAACATCTCATTCTTCTATTAGTTGGTTAAGTTAACCACATAAAATATATAAGCTCCTTCAATTAAAGCATTCACCTCAACAAGTCATACAACCCCCACACATTTCTTGAGATGATGCGTATAATTAAAGGAGATGACATATTTTATGTGGTTAACTTAATTACCAAATAGACGAACGAAAATACACACAAAATTTGAATCGAAAAAGTCTAAGGAGTTGAGATGTTCAATTAGAATATGATTTAGTTTGAGTATCCGAATAGAATAGTCTAACAAGTTTAAGAATCTGACTAAGTATTAAGCCAAAATTAAATATTACTTCTATAATTTTCCTTTCATAGTCATGAACTTCATATAACGATGCTAAGTTAAATGAATGAAAATGAGTGGTGATAGTATGATGAGGAGAAAATTATAAGGGTTTTTGTGCTTTTAAAAAGGAGGTTAACAATTTCACGGATTTTAATGTCATCACTCACACTCAACTATCAATGCATAATTCGTTTTAGCCCCCCATTCATTCGGGCCAGCTACCTCAAGTCATTTGGGTCTCATGTCTCATGATTTTGTTCCATAGAACTCCAATCTAAAAGTGTCTCGATCGTTAAATTCTGAATTCACCTATGCAACCCCAAACTTTCCTTTCTCACTCCAATATGGAGTTTGTCTAAGCTAAATTTAATTTGATAGCAAATCCCTTTCTACTTCAACCACTAGCGGTCCTTGAATTGGTACACTCACCGAGGTTTGTCTCATCACCATACTACTTGAATATCATATGTCACGATTCCAGCTCAACTATCAAGATATTATTTATTTTCACACAACCCCTCTGCTCAATATTTTTTAATCTTGTAATTTTATGTCGTTGGATTTTAACTAAAAGATAATAATAATTGAATTATTAACTCATTCTTCTAACTATTTCCCTATCATTCCAACTATTTGAGTTTATGTGCCACTTGTCCATCTTGGACTTATATAGATTTGGTTTGTTGTAATTTTGGACCATGAAAACAACGAGCATAAAAGCCAAAATGGGCCAACCATAGATAGAATATTATTGGATGTCATATGGTACAATAGAATACAAATAAAAATTAATTAGAGATGGGACATATACTATAGTCTATATTATTAGGTCATCCACCCATTCTTCTATTTAAGTCACATCTCTTTCTTACACGTAAAGTGCATTACCCATTTTTTGTCTTCTCCTCAAACCACTATTTATAATCATTCTATTAACGTTAATCAAACTTCTTTATAATCGTCATTTTTTGTAATAGTAATATTTAATTAGAAATTCAAGTTTTTTTAAAAATTGATAATTATTCATGTTATGTTATGTTATATATTCTCTTATTCAGATAAACGGCGTTAATATAGAAAGTTGAGTGTATCAACTTTTTGCTAGTCTCTTCATTGTTGTCCGATGACATAAAGCCACATAAATCTTATCTCTTTGATACCAAATTTTCTTAATCATAAACACACTTTCCCACTAATACTCTACCAACAATTCACTAATAATTAACCCACCTACTGCTAAGCACTTTCATAAAGTGTCAAAAAATATTTCCTTATAAAATTAGATCACATATATCCGATCTTAAATTATCATATGATTGAACTGTAATTGTTATTATTTAATCATAAATAAAAACCAATAATTATTATGACCCCCTCCCCCAATTAGTACACCTAACTTGTAGCAGATTCAAAGAGTAACATGCAAATTTACAAAAACACATTTTTCTTGATCGATAAATTCTGAATTTACCGCTGCGTTAAATACCATCCCTAAAATAGTGTCATCATGAACATTGAAATTGTGGTATAGTGAAGAGAGACGTATGAAACAAGTTTTAGTTTGGTAAACAGCCTAAATCAGGCAGTACATTAAAATTAAATTATATATCACATGGGTTGCCCCCTTCTATATATTCCTAGACTAATCAAAACAGGTCACATGTCCCATTTTACCTAACTTTTAATATAAAAAATACAAAAAATGATAATTAAGTGCACAAAATATTCCACGTTAGCATGATTAGAAAAATTCACTAGCCCTCAAAACCATTGAAGAGTAAACTTCAAAGCCTTAATGTAGGCATGAGAAAGAAGAAAAAAAACAATTAAATCAACTTGAATACAACTGCAACAATCCAAGTTAATCAATTATTTTAATTATATATAAATTCTTTATGATCTTAATTAATTTATTTGTAACTCTATATATTATAGTAGAAGGGAATATCTGTCACTTTTATATGTCCCTTTCATTAGCAAAAATACAAATAGAAGAATCACCATATGTAATAGTCATGAAAAATACCCTTTTCACATAAAGAATTAACTTTTTTAAATTTTACACTCAATCTATCATATTCGTATTAGAATTCATTTTAATTCTGAATGAGGAAACATCAAACATATATTGAAAATAGAACACTATCTAAAAAAATAATTTCATAATTAAAGGCTTGACTAACTCAAAACCTTGTATTATGAATCAAGAAGTACTTATTACTCATCTACAATCATATATCAATAAACAAAATATAATTTTAAAAAATAACATAGAGTAAACATCAAGTAATTATTAGAGTAAACCAAAAATTTCTTACATGATCCAATATTTTACCAATCCCTAAAAACCTTAGCAAATCGAAAAACCATTTTCTAAAAAATTTAATTAACAAGTACTATATAATTTATTTAATTAAAAAAAAAAGACAGTTCAATACACTAAAGCTTCCGCTATGCATAAAATTTGAAAAAGAGTCCGATCGGACTTAACAAACTTACCTTACATTCCTACCAAAACTGTTTCCAAGACTTGAACTCAAGTATCGTTCACTTTTACTTATTTAATTTCTAACTAATGACAATAAGAAGACAATTATTTGTAATTTATTTATGTATATAATATAAGTTTTCCAATATTATTCTTTAGCAGAAAAAATGTACAGTTCATTCAACTTTATAGGACCAAAAATATTAAAATTGTAAATAGCAGAAAAATAAAAATAAGAAAATAAAAGTTGGTCCAAAAAAAAGTAATTAAAAAGAAAAATAAATACTTCCAGTGGCAATAAACTCCTCTGCTTCATCATCTTCTCCAAATTACTAAACACTCACATCACAGCTCCGGGCAAGTTGATATTTCACGGCGTTATTTCCGACGAATAGTCCGCCGTCGCCGGGATGATTTCCGAACGGTACATAAGCCGTACACGTAACATGTAAATGATAATGCCCAGTCGTAATCGTTCCAACTCTCCATTTCACACGACCGTCAATTTTGAAATCGAGCCAAACGCCGCCGTTTTGCTGGTCTTCTTTCAGATCTGGTCCATTAAGAGGTGAAATCGGAACATTGTTACTGAAAACGAACGGCGACCATATGTTAACGTCTTTATGACCTTGATAAACTGATGGAATTTGGGTATAGTAAGTAATTTGTTGCTTGTGATAGTTCGCGTATGTTTTCATCTTATCGTAGTAAACGCCGATTTTGTCGTTAGGGTTCCGGGAATATATAGTGATTTGAATTGAAGTGGAGAAGATATTGGGAGCGGAAACGTTGAAATTGAATATTGTAGCGTCTTGGAGAATGAATCTGGGTTTTTTGGGTTGTAGAATTGCCCAGACTAGTAAGACGGTTAAGAGGACGACGAAGAGGAAAATCAGAATTCCGGCGAAGAGTCGTCGGACGAGTTTTCGTTTTTTGTCTTTGTGGTGAGTGCACTCTTTGACTGACATGGTGGTGTTTTCTCCGGCGGTAGCTCCGGTGATCGGAAAAGTAGTGGTGGAGCTGAAGATGTGGATAGTAGAAGTACTAGTGTGGAATAAAAGGGAAGTGAGTGGTTATGGGGATTGGTTTATCTATATAGAGTAATAAAGTGAGCAAGTGTCACTTCCTTTTAAAAAAATGGATATTCAAAATTTAATGACTCGATTAATTTGGATTCGTATCGTATAAATATATAGTAAAATGAACTATGATGTCAAAAGATTCTTCATTCTCATAATGTATCTATCTATTCGAAATCGTTGATTAAAGATGAAGGTTAGAAAAAAACTATAAGAGGTTCATCTATATATATAATAGGCATGTTGAACCTTTTTTTAAAAAAATCTTTTTATATATTTAATTTGGTATATTTAAATGTAAATTTGATTAGTGATTGAATAGAAGAATTTCAATAGTCCCCTTTCTTATTATAAGCTAAAAAGGCATGAGTAAGTTTACTCAATTGAGATGTAGTTATATAATTGGTAATTGTTACCCAATTAAAGTTGTTTAAGAAGAATTACATATAATTGTTAGTTATTTAAAGTATATGTAGTAATTTAAAAAAGAAAATTATGCTATACGTAGAATTCACAAAAAATTGATAAATGTTTGTTGAATACAATATGTTTTTCAAAATCGTTGTTTAGCTTGTGAAAACGATTAGTAACAAATGTTTTAAAAATAAT